TATGACAGTTTTGTTCATTTGCTTAGAGCTGATTTTTGGTTGAAGCAATATAATGTTATTCAGCAGTTATATTACAATGAAAAGGAAAGCAAGCTTACCATAATGCTATTTCAAACAGAGGTACCTGGCTCTGGTATGGTGGGCTGGCTGAGAGAGGTACCTGGCTCTGGCATGGTGGGCTGGCTTATGTCTGAAGGTTTTATATCTGTGTAATTAATGAAAAGCTAATATAAGTTACAGTTAAATGCATAACAGTAACAAGAGGTACTGTCAGTTGTTATATGCTAAGATAATGTTTGTGTCATATCAATGAACATTGAAGATAAAAAAATGGAAAACTCTGAGTGAGGCTTTAAAATCATTATGTGGCGGTACATGATCATAGTTTGAAAATTTTGAAAAAATGTAGGATTTTATGTATATTTTAACAGTTTTTTCACAGCACTGCGAAGGAAGCAGAGGACTAGATCAATAGCTGTGTATGTATGCACATATTACATTGTTGTTTCAGTTAGCGTCTCATATTAAGTTATTAAAATAAGGAAAGTTATAATTTTGATTATAGTATTAATAGTATATGGTATGGCATGATGGGAGTCAAAAATTTTAGCAATTACCCTGTATTGCTACATCTGTCATTTGTCCTTCAGTTATTGCACATGTAATATTCATTGGTAGGGTTGTGCTGATTTCATCCTCTGAAGGGTGTGGCCATATTTTTCTTGCTTCTTCCAAAGACATATGTAATTCTTGTTCTTCTTCAGTAAAGAAAAGGAAGCCTTGAGTTGTCTGGTCATGACTGATCCCCAATAACTTGATGGCTTTCTCTATGCGGACACTTTCTTGAATCTGGAATAATAATGAAATAAGTAAAAATATTCTTAATCATAACAGAGAAAGCTATTATATGTAAGTTAATAATGGTTTTTAGTGGTCTCAGTAATAATGTTTTTCTATGAAGCATGATATGTATATGTTGGTGACCTGTGTGTGGACTTTTGTTTTAAAAGTGAACAATGTAATTGAGGATTATTAGAATAATCTGTAATGCTTGTATAATGTTGATTATTTCTTGAAAAACAGTATAGCAAATTATTAGCATTATTTTAAAAACAGTTAAAGAGGAAAGATGTTCAATGTGTGGTTACCTGTACATTTTCTGGTGAATTGACGTGGCATACCAGTTGGTTTTCATATGTATTGAAGTGGAGGTTGCCCTCCACTGACAAACGACTTCCCAGTTTAACTGGGGATGTAGTGGCTGTTCTCCACAAATTGACTGTTATTGAGCCTGTGTCATCTGTAACCGTCATTTGATTAAGTGGTGTTGCCTCATTTTTTACAATGACTTCTTTGGTCTCCATCTGTGAAAGAGAAAGAAATTAAGGTTGGAATTTTATTAGAAATTTGAAAAAACTGCAAGAGTTGTATGAAAGGATATTTAGTTTGTATAGAAATGTGACATTAAATACAGTGGACATGTTAAATGTGAAGTAATGAGTACCCAGCAGGCACAGTTGCGTTGGATCAACGTTGAAAACAGGTTGATACGTTGAATTGCCGTTGATCTACCTAAATTCAAGGTAAAATCAACGTTGATCCAGCCACGTTGACTCAACGTTGTATTTTGGTCAATGACACAATCTTGCATTTATGGATTGTAATTTAAAATATTAATTATTGAAAACGTAATACTTTGTTTATCAATACTGTAACTAAATTTATCAAAGTAATAACAAAACGGTTTTAAAGTAGAAGTGACAGTTGTTTTGTGTCTTTAGTTAACTAGTGAATTTTCTTAACTTGTTACTCAGAAATACATTCCAATAAACTGAATTCCTTGCAAGGTCAGCTAACACTAGGATGAATAAGTTGTTGTAAATGTGATGGAGTTAACAGTTAGGCCTATTTGTAACCTGGTATTATAGATAGACAGGTTGACTGTGACTTTGTTATATATATATATATATATATATATATATATATATATATATATATATATATATGTTCCCTTTATTTGCTTTATTTATTTTATTTATTTATTTATTTATTTATTTGCTCTAAAGCAAGCATCAAATTCAGAATAGCAGCGCATTGCAAACGTTTTTGCATTTTGTCTCTAGTGTATTTTGTTTTTCCTGGAGACACTTGACCAGAAAATGGTGCTTTTTCTATTTGTTTTTTCAGAGCTTTGGTAAAGTGTCATGTGTCCCAAAAAAATTTCAACATTGTCACATGCAGCTGGGCTCGGCTGTCGATCCCCATCAGTGGTTAAGCTTGTCCCCAATGGTGTCGTCTTCTCGTAGATTGGCTGTGCAGACTCCAATGTGCTCTGGACAAGAGACATCTTCCCCTCTACTTCTGAGATATTGAATTATTGTTTTGTTGTGTTAAGATGTACATTTATTATGGTGGAAGTACTAGAAATAACAAATCAGGTGTACAGTATCAAGAGCAGCAAGTAACTCATTAAAAGAAAAGTTCTGGCAGAAATACATACTGATAAGGCCCAGTCCACAGATGCTCCATTTTTCCTCCCTTCCTTCCAATGTTTTTCATAGCCCTTTTCATGACCGCATGTCTCCAACTGAAAGGTCAAAGGATTTGGCGCCATTTGCCTTTCTCTTTGCAAAATTCTCCATCTGTTTTGTTTGGGCCTTTTCCACATTCTCTTGTACCTAAGAAAAACACATAAGAAAAATATAGACAGTGAAGATGGCACATATACAGGCATCAAATTAACTAATAACTTTGAGGCAAAAAGCTATATCAGTATTTAGGTTAGTGCAGTAACAATGAAAAAAGTGCACCATGACAGAGGCAGGTGATGGCTACGTACACTGTGCCGGTGCATTAAAATACTATGTCCTAGTAATGAATGCACAGTTGCTTATTAGAGACACAAATATGACACCTAGGCAGTCATAAAACAAGAAAAGTATTTCATATTCAAATACAATTTTGATACAACTGTAACATGCTAGAACCCTTTAATGAAGCACATTATGTGTGTCTTTGTACTTACAACTTTATTGGTGACATCTAACAGTGCCTCTCTATGGTTGACCATGTCTTCCAGAACTTCAATACTTTGGCAATCATCTAAAAATGGAAATCACAATTGAAATTAGAAAACCTCTTTAAAATTCATCATGTTATTTTTTTGAACACAGGAGCAATGTTTCATGCTTCCTACTTCATTTAAGATAAAGACAGGATCAGTAGCATGACTAGCAGACAGACTGTTAAGTAAAATAATCAGATGAATGAAAAATAGGTAGGTAAATAAAATATTTGTAGTGCAGCCATTTAAGCATATACAGTATAGAAATAACTGATAATCAAAAAAAGGTCTACATGATATAAAAGATTAAATAGGTTTGATATAAAAGAGGTCTACATGATATAAAAGATTAAATAGGTTTGATATAAATGACAAGACCAAAGCATATCATATCTAATACACATTTTGGCTGCACATAGACTGCTTTTCAAACACAATTTCAGTGATGTAACAAACCTATTACTGACATGTCAGAAAATAATAATAAAAATGTTCCAAATTTTATCTTGTCTAAATCATTAAAATTTTAAATCTAGTATTACCTCCTTCATAGACCTAGGGTGCCTCCCAAACATTAGAAAAAAGGGGTGAACTTTGTGGACGCTTGCTTTTGTGTCCTGATTGAATACACCACATCCTCCAAATAAGTATCCCAGTCGTTCTGGTGTTCATTAATTAGCTTGCTCAATCGAGTCTTCAGTGTCTGGTTTGTCCTCTCATCCAGACCATTGGTCTGAGGATGATAGGCACTTGTCACAGACCTCTCTATGCTGAGGGAGCGGCAAACCTCTGTATTTATTTCAGCCACAAACTCTTCTTCCTTGGTCTGACAGGAGCCTTTTTGGTGCTCCCCACCTGACAATTCAAAATGAAATCGCATTAAAACCAACCAAAAACATGATTATCATACGAACCATTCCAATTAATAGGGCAATATTATAATATGGGACTTAGTATTCAGAATTAAACACCACTTGTATTTCAGAGAGTGAGGACAATAGTTTACTTGATTTTACTTTAAAATGGGGTCTACTTTATCATTTACTTATGTGCCAAACATTAAATAGTAATTATAAGGACTGTGCTTTGTGCTTTCTTGTTGGGAAATGTTGTATTTTCATACAACATTTCCCAACAAGAAAGCACAAAGCACCTGGAAGTACATTGTAATATCAGTATATGCATATCACTAACACTCCATTCACAGTAATATAAATATAAATAAAAGGTTGTAAAAGAATAGTAATATCTGTAAATTTCACTCAATGTCACTGTGCATATGTTTGATAATTGTCTGCTTTTCTTCTTCATTTTCTACCACGGTGCGCCATGGTCTGTAAGTTAATTGGTTGCTCTTTCAAACGTTGCCTCAATCAGCCAAGAATGTGATCAAATTTATCTGCAGACAAACTAAGCCTTTAGCGTATTGTAGGGAAACACGTGTTAGCTTTCCTATATGTTGATCTTTTGTGAACACCTCAAATTTCGATTGGCAGTGTTCATCGCCGAGAGACATCATCACCATAGCTCTTCACTCATTACAGATGGATACAATTTCTGGACACTGTTTTTGATATATGTATAGTCTAGTCTTTGTGGTGAGCAGATTGGTCTTTTGTTATATTGCGCTGTCCTTAAGCCCCCCATGTTCCTCGTTGGGTCAAGGCGTTCTTCTTTAGAATATATCCTGCCCATTAACAGAACGCAAAAGTTACTTGGCCCCCTAGATTTCACTTTTAAGACGTCTAACTCGTCTATGTAAGACCAGACCTCCGATGGGATGCTTCCGTCACACGGACTTATTGCCTGATGATGCGTCATCTATCCTACTTTGTCTAATTACTCTGTGTTGCTAACCCTGAAAATCTCAAGCCAAAATGTCCAAAGTATACGCTAACCTGTCCATACCTGGTGGGATAACTACGTCTTGCTCTTGGTTGTTGTGTCCTTCTGCCATCTTCACAGAGTGCTGCTTCAGTTCTCTCTGACAATAACAAAAATCTCAAAACAGAATCGTGTGCGAAATCTGTCGCCAAATCTATACTGTGTTCTTAGAGATAGCCGGGGGTATATTTTACTCTGAGGTCTCTAATCTGTCTGTTGAAGAGTCAAGGTTCGGTCCACGATTCCCGACTCTCTAGGCTGCTGCCTGGTTTTATACCTTATAGATTGGAGTGACAGACCATGTGGCCACAAATTATCGCAACTTTAAATAAAGGGTAATAAAGTGAGATAAAATTAAAGTTGACTGGGACCAATTAAAGTGATAGGAACAATTACATTACTACTTACGTGCCCATGCCCGCGACTTCATTAAAAAGTATTACACTTATCAGAAATTTTCTGCGGTCTGCACAGTTCCTGTATGAAAGAGATTGAAAAGTAATGTCACTCATGAGAGAATAGCACAATTGTGTACCCTTTTGATTGGGCCACAAATATTTTTTATCAATTCTCTAGTTCCATCCAAAAGATTTCAGCTGACAAAATGCCCTACTGCATAACTGTGTCCAAATAGCAGTGACCTGTTGTGAGGTAATGTTTTCTTTGCTGATTTCAAATAGAATGTCTCAGTTTCTGAACCTGGAACTAATTGCTTCACTAGATTTGGTAATTGTTGGTGAATAACAACAGCAGATGAAATCTGTAATTCCTCAGAGCTTGTCCCATGGAGTATTTTTCTTAAATCGCCATTAAGGTCTTCATAGAAAAACAAGACCGTGTCCATAAGATACCCAATATAATTACTTTGTCACATAAATGAACAAGATAATGTACATTGTAAGTTTCATTTCGAGGTAAATACAAACAATCAATCTGAGCACAAAATATTTCTAAGAGAACTCTTGCTCTGCTACGTACAACAGAATAAAAAACATACTAGCTGTTTTCATTTATGCATTTGTAAATAAAATGGACAGGTACCTGATGCTGGCTTGTTCATTCTGAAGAACCTTTTTAGCAACATTTTCAAGTGTATTCTCCAAAATGGAGGCAACTGCAAACGTCTCCTGTTTCACATATTCAAAAATGTCTTATGCTGAAATAAAATAACACTATAAGGTCAAATACATGTAAATATATGTTTTTTTTTACTGTTATACTAATGTAGAGAAATAGCAGGTTTCATATTAGCAATATAATTAGGTACAGTTAATAGTTTGCCAGTACAGGTTACGTCTGTCTAATTTTTCATCAAGGCTATCAATTAGACTATTGTAATAGGCTTCCTTTGTGTCCTTTATCAGTTTATTTACCAGAGCAGACTGAGCCTTATAACCATTTGTATTATCCTGCTTAGGAGTAATTCTCATTTTAGCATATAATTTCTTTTTTCTTAGAATTTCATGCCGTAACCTGTCACAGAACCAAGGTTTGTAATTTGCTTTTAATACTTCTTATTTTTTATGGTATGTACTTCTTATAGATAAATAGTAGTTTGTCTGTAAAGTTTCAAGCAATTTCATGCACATTATTTAAGTGTCGAAAAAAGTTTTCCTAATCA